TAATAATAATAATAATAATAATAATAATAATAATAATAATAATAATAATAATAATAATTTTGATGGCTTGTCGCTCAGACGAAAGTGAAATAACCATCCGATTTCCGGCGTTTTTTGCTTCGTGTTGGATTCGAACCATCGAAAGGTGGTTTATTCCTTAAAGCAGTATTTCCATAAAGTGATATTTATTTTTTGATTATGACAAAAGTTCATGCAAAAATTCAATTGCCATCAAGGAAATTAGCGCAAAAAATTTTTGTAAATCAGTAAGGTGTTAAATTTCAAAATAAACATAATTTAACATTGTAACAATCATCCTTTTACAGTAATTACTGATTTAATACACAGTTATTTTGTTCTCATGTTCAGAATAAGTAAAAGAAAACAAAAAAACCGAAAGTTCACGATCAATTGACGGTTTGTGAAAAACTGAAGAGAAAATGATCTATTCTTTCCAATCATCATTAATACAGCATCAATTTCATATGAAATGCGAGTTGTTCTGACAATAATTAATCATTAAATTTCGAATTTAATTCACCTGGTTTGTCCTAGCAGCCATGTTTTAAAATTTGCATCCAGTTTGCTTGGACTTTGTGTGACACCACCTTCAAACATCTCAATGGGACTCTTTCGCACCCTAAAAACAGCATTTTTCTTCCCTTCTTTTTTCGCAAATTTAAAATAAGCCAATGAAGTAGCTTTCGAAAATTCGAGACACACTCAATGTTTTTTTTTCCTTTTGAAACTAAAGCAATGATCCAGCGGGTGCCGCCATAAGTTAGCAGTAACAAAAATGACCTGTCATTGAAATTGTGCCATAAAGCGACGATTAATTCAGTGGCCATAATATCGCCAGCATGTGCACTTATCATCCTCATGCAAAACACACCATCATATCCAAGAAATTTATGCACAAACTTTTTAACAGATTGCCGATCCGTTGCCAGATCAGTCGCTTTTAAATATTTCCGAATGAATTTCATATGCTAAAAAGAATCATTTTTTGATTCGTTCATTTCCACTTAAGTTGGAAAAGAAATTGTCCCTTCGATATAGCTGTTAACAATTTTCACTTCCCTCGACTGATGGTTTTTCTCAAAATAATTTTCTGAACCGAAATCACCAGGTAATTAAATATAGGTGCATTTGTTTTGACCCAGAATGAACTGGTCATCGACAGATTTATGCTTCTGTTAATCCAGTTATATTTCAAAGATATAAAGATATTCTACATAACATTTAAAAGAGTTAAAAGCAAAAAACAACATTTACTTGGCCTGGCAGAAATGACATCAGCATCCAGTGACCCACAGAAAACATACTTACTATTGATACCATGAAGTACCAAAACCACAGAAATAAAAATATTTTCTCATTGAACATGTTTATCATCAGTACACATTGCACAGTATGATGGTGAACATTACCGAGAACACGCACCTGAAATTTGCCAGTCATTCTCACCAGTTAAATGAATATAACGTTGCTTCTTTAAGGATTTTCGAGAGGCAGTACAGTTTTCCGAACACTTCTAACAATTCAGAATCCTCTAAATTCT